CACTAGATCCTATATATGTGGCAGAAGAACTTCTCAATAGGAGAAACCAAGCTGGCCGCAACAGACCACATAATAAAGATAGTTACTTACCACCAGAAGTGAAGCCTACTGCTCCAACCTTTGCAGGAAAAATAGACCCAGCAGCCTAATTACAGTGGGAAAGAAGAATGGAGAATCTCTTTGAATACTATGCTTACACTGAGCCAAAGAAGATTGCACTTGCCATTATCGTAGCTTCGAAGCCACACTACTTCATTCATTCAAAGTCAAACTCAGTATCTATTCATCTAATAGATATTGGGTTTGACCTTTATTTGGGAACTCAGTGATCGTGCTTTGGTTGTGTGATTGTGATGATTTTAATATTGTAAGTTCGAATCCACACTACTTCATTTTTTTTCCCAAATAATTTGGATTTATCTTCTTTTATGATTATTAGATAAATATTTTTATTGATTATGTATAATATTAACATTATTTTCCTCAATAATATAGCAGTTGAATACACTTTATTAAATAAATCAAATTATACATAATGGTAAATAATATAATTTGTACAAAGTTATACATTATTATTATTAAAATTATATGATCGACATATTTGATTGATTGTGTTAATTTTTTGATTAACATAATTCAGCAATATATAATTCGAATAATTTAAAACAATCATATCATATTTTTTGTCATAAAAGTGCATAATGTCATAACATGTAATTATTCTAGTAGCAAAATTTATTTTTCAAAAAAAAATCTGAAAACCCCTATTATGATGACATATCGACAAAATGACATCATTGTAATTACTTACAAAAATTAGATTAGTCTCTTAAAAAAGCTTCTCAGTTCATATATAGGAGATTAAATTAGTCTAGTTGGTTGTGTGTGATTGTGATGGTTTTAATATCGTAAATTCGAACCCACACTACTTCATTTTTCTCCCAAATAATGTGGATTTATCTTCTTTTATGATTATTAGATAAAAAAAAATTAATAATTGTGAATAATATTTAAATTATTTTCTTAATAATATATCAATTGAATATATTTTTTTAAATAAATAATATCATATATAATGGAAAATAATATAATTTTGGGCAAAGTTATACATTATTATTAAAATTGCATAATCGAACATATTTGATTGGCTCTGCCAATTTTTTAGATTAATTTGGTTCAGTAATATATAATTTAAATACTTTAAAAAACAGATTATATGTTTGGTCATATAAATGCATAGTAGCATAACATATAATTATTCTAAATAACAAAAATTATTTTTTAAAAAAATCTGAAAAACCTACGGTGATGATAAATCAGTAAAATGGCACAACTATCATTACTTACAAAAATAAAGTTAAATCTTTAAAACTAAAGATTCTCAGTCAATATATATAGGAGATTAAATTAGTCAAGTTGGTTGTGTGTGATTGTGATGATTTTAATATCTTAAATTCGAACCCACACAACTTCATTTTTCTCCCAAATAATGTGGATTTATCTTCTTTTATGATTATTAGATAAAAATGTTTTTAATAATTGTGTATAATATTAAAATTATTTTTCTTAATAATATAGCAATTGAATATATTTTTTAAAAATAAATAATATCATACATAATGGCAAATAATATAATTTTGGGAAAATTTATACATTATTATTAAAATTGCATAATCGACATATTTGATTGGCTCTACCAATTTTTTAGATTATTTTGTTTCAGTAATATATAATTTGAATACTTTAAAAAATCAGATTATATGTTTGGTCATGTAAGTGCATAATAGCATAATATATAATTATTCTAAATAACAAAAATTAATTTTCAAAAAATTCTGAAAAACCTATGGTGATGATAAATCAGCAAAATGGCACAACTATCATTACTTACAAAAATAAAGTTGAATCTTTAAAAAAGTTTCTCAATTAATATTTAGCAAAAGGTCACCACTATCATTACCTACAAAAATAAAGTTAAATCTTTAAAAAGGCTTCTCAATTATTATTTACTTAATATTTACTGATAATAACCATTGTGGTATCGGAAAATTAATTAATTTACCTAATATTTACTGATAATAACTATTGTGGTATCGGGAAATTAAGTCTGTTCGGTTGAGGAACCAAAATTATTTTCCTCAATAATATAACAGTTGAATGAATTTTATTAAATTAATCAAATCATACATAATGGTACATAATATAATTTTGGAGAAAGTTATACATTATTATTATTAAAATTTTATGATCGATATACTTGATTGGTTATGTTAATTTTTTTATATTAATATAATTCACCAATATATAATTTGAATAATTTAAAAAAATCATATCATATGTTTGGTCATAAAAGTGCATAATGGCATAACATGTAATTATGCTAGTAGCAAAAGTTATTTTTCAAAAAAAAACTAAAAACTCCTATTATGATGACACATTGGCAAAATGACATTATTGTAAGGGAAATTGGCACCAATAACCAAAAAAAACTTTATAATTAGCTATATAATCAAAGAAAAAAATTTGTGATATTTCTTATATAAATTACAATATATACCATTCTATCCCTAAAAATACCACATAATCATTTCTTTCATCTTTTATGTAATGTTTTGTGCACAACAAATTTGTTTACCCCATTTCATCTTCTTTATTGTATTATTAATATTAGATTATCAATCAACTAAATCTTAATCTTGTGTTTGTATTAAAAACCAGTTTTTTCTGTACATATAATCTTTTTCAACGGTTCAACCACCACTCTGGAAAAAGCTCCCAACCACAGCTCCAACAAGGAAGAATTAGCCATCATGTACAGCTTACATTTCTTCTTTTAACCAGTAACTTGTTCCTCATTGAACTGGACACAGAAGATTGTTGTTGCCTTTGTTGGAAGAAGAGATAACATATATCAACAAACAATCATGAAAAAGAAAAAAGCTATTGTGAAGATAAGAGAATCAAATGATTTGATATTTTCTAAACCAATGTATATACTATACTATTTTGTGTTCTATGTTATTCAAATGTATATACTATACTATTTTATTATGATGAGGGTAAAAACGATAAAAACAGTGTTTTTGGTTAGATGTTTTATTATCTGTTTTATATGGCTATATTCTTTAATATGAACTCCAATATGTATATACGCCAAATTAACCCTTATTGTAATTACTTACAAAAATAAGGTTAGTCTCTAAAAAAAACTCTCAGTTAATATATAGGAGATTAAATTAGTCTAGTTGGTTTTGTATGATTGTGATGGTTTTAATACCATAAATTTGAACCCACACTACTTCATTTTTCTCCCAAATAATCTGGATTTATCTTCTTTTATGATTATTAGATAAATGTTTTTTTATTAATTGTGTATTATATTAAATTATTTTCCTTAATAATGTAGCAGTTGAATATATTTTATTAAATAAATCATATCATACATAATGGCAAATAATAAAATTTTGAGCAAAGTTATACATTATTAAAATTGCATGATCGACATATTTGATTGGCTGTGTTAATTTTTTTGATTAATTAGGTTCAGTAATATATAATTTAAATACTTTAAAAAATCAGATTATATGTTTAGTCATATAATTGCATAATAGCATAACATGTAATTATTCTAATAGCAAAAATTATTTTTCAAAAAATTCTGAAAAACTTATGATGATGATAAATCAGCAAAATGGCACAACATTATTTAAAAAAATAAAGTTAAATCTTTAAAAATGCTTCTCAATTAATATTTAGCAAAATGGCACCGCTATCATTACTTACAAAAATAAAGTTAAATATTAATATTTACTGATAATAACCATTGTGGTATCGGGAAATTAATTAATTTACTTGATATCATATTATTAATTGAAAAGCAAGTTGGGCTATAGTTGATAGTTATGATGGTTGATTACTTTTTACCCCTTATATGAAAAAACTTTATTTACTCTTAATAAAATTAACAAATCAATATACTCTAATTTTTAATAGATTTTCATTTTTTTAAATCTAGATTTCCAAATTCGAATTTTATATCATAAAAATATTCAGTTTACTAAAAAAAAGGTAACTAGTATAAATCACAAAAAATCCTAATTATTTCCTTAAACTAATATTGATTTGATTGTTTAACCTACTAATATTTTTGACTAAACTAATTGATTTATGCGGCCACAAGTAAAACCTTAAATCCTTTAAATCTTTTTTTTTGTTAACAGCCTCAATCCTTTAAATCCTTTTAAAGCTCTCTATATATTATTTAATGTTAAGTTGATATGAAACAATGATCCTTTGGTTTTAGTCATTTTGGATTGTTATGTTTTTTTTATGCAAATTTTGAATTTCATTAATTTTAATCTGTCAATTTACATCAAAAGAAGAAAATTATTTATCATGTTTAATGAATGTAACAAAACAACAAAGCATACATATAAGTTTTTACTGGATAATATAAAGGATATTAGAAAATAAAATATAAATATAAATAATATATTTTGCTTTGTCACCAAAAAAACAATATATTCATAAAAATTATATTTTTAAAAATAAATTAATTTTGGTTTCGAATAATTATAAAATCTGATTCTTTTATCTATAAATAAACTAATATTATTACTTTTTAAAATATTTTATCGAATCCCGCACAAGATGCAGAAAAACACTGATAATAACCATTGTGGTATCGGGAAACTAAGCCTGTTCAAAAATTATTAAGGAAATTTATACTAACCAGAATTTAAAATCTTTAGTAGATTATTTGTGTTTGAGTTTGGTCAGCATTCTAGTTTTGGTAAGGTAAAAAAACGAGAAAATTAAAATGGATAAGCTTTTTTCTTGTTACCGATTTTTCTCTCTAGTGAGAGAATACAGATTTTTTTTTTTAGGACGTAAAGTGGCTTAAACAGTACATTCTACACTTTCGTCTCTCAAGGACAATAAGCAGACTAAAAAGCATATAAATTTGAACTTGCGACGACCAAAATGTGATCTCAAGTAGCTTAGTCGGGTAACGCAGTTCCTCGTTCCAAGTTGTTTTTGATCTCGAGTGTGTATTTCCCAAACGCGCGCTCGATCTTCTTGTTGAAATGCTCGTTTCTGTCGTTGATCGAATCAATATCCTTCTCTTCCCGGAACTTCCTCCTCCTGCTAAAGTCCTGTCGCTTCTGCTCTCTGTCAAGTAGCTCCTTTGCCATCTTATCAATCTTATCTTTTGATGTTTTTGGAGCCTGCAAAAAGATTGAAACATATGATGAATCTTTTCTCTCAAGTCTTGAATCTACAACAATTGACCAAAACGATAAATTCAACAAACCTTCCCGTATTGCAAGCTTGAAGCCTCACGGTAAAACTCTGGATCAGCTGCTCTCATTCTGTTATACTCCTCTAGATCAACCTGAATGTTCTTCGTCCGCTTCTTATATGCGTTGTACAACGTCTTCTGGTTGAAGACTGAGGAAAGATGCAATGTTTTCACACATTAGTTGAGTTATCATCAACAAGAAACAAAACAAATCATAAGAGAGCAGAGAGTCAAGATTCAGTACCATCCCAACCAGAAGGGGTTGGTTCCTTTTCCCATTTTTTGTATTTTGTTTCCGCTGCTTCTTGAGTGTCGAGCATGTAAGCCTTTTTCATATCTAAACCATTAGCGTCGAGAAGTTTCCCGATTTTTTTCTTCTTCTGCTCCAACCATTTCTGTTTTGAGATCCCTTTCGTCTCCGTTGGTGCTTCCATTTTCTTCTTTTCACTCCCGACATCCGTCTGATTGGATTTTCTTGCCTCGTTCTGAAACCAAAAGCAAGAAGATTTACATAAATAAAACAATCTTAAGAGCAAATTTAAAGAGTTAAGCTAATATGACTGTACAGAACGACTTACCATCTTAAGTCTCAGCTCAAACAACTTCTTCTTCCTCCCTGTAAGTTGAGAAACGTCTACTTCAGGTTCTTGTTCTTCTTCTTCTTCTTCTTCTTCTTCAGAACTCTCCTCCTCTATTCTTTTATCAGCAAGTGACTCCCTTGACTGCTCGTTAACTTTTGCATTAGGGTAACCACTCCCACCAACAGCGTCAGCTAATCCTTTCAGCACATGAACAAAAGAAAAATAAGTCTCCGAGTGACAGTTTGAAACTAAGTTAGCATCAGTGCATCAAAATCATACAACAACCTTCAAACAGGTACTGCTACGCATCAAAATCATAACCCATAATTGAAGATCTACACTTGCTTTTTATCAGAACTAGATGAATATTTCAATCAGACAGCAAATCGCAATCAAGTTTATTCTTTTGAAACAGCTACTACTACGCATCACAATCGTAAAGACTATAACCACGGGAAACAAAATCCACACATAAGATAAGATAGATCAAGAACCAGTAGTACCTTGCTTCTCCAATCTGGCTTTTGCTTCCGCTATTTTCTTAAAGCAATACTCCACACACTCATGATAAGGATTCGAAGCGTTTATACAGTCCGGGTGCACTCTCCTCTCACTTTCCATATTTTTCACGGCCCTGCGAAACTGTTCAAAAACCAATTAACAAGCCACTACAATGAACCATTAAAGCACTGAGATTTGAGAATTATAGCCAAAGAGACGGAAGAAGCATAAGCATATAGGCCTAATAGCAAAAAAAACTCACTCACTGAGTTGATGCAAACAAGATCTAAACTGGATTCCATGGGGAAGAAAAAAAAAATCTCTAATTTGATGCAAATCCACATAAAGATACAAAGCTAACCTATTCAAACCCTAAGACATCAGAGGAACATTTGAAGATTCATGAACTATAAATCACTATAAATCGTCAGATTCTATGTAAATATACCGTAAGAACTTGCCGAAAACCTAAGAGTAATCGAAAACAATTAAAATCGATGAAACAAGTAAAGCCCTAGACTAACAAATCACTCCAAAGTGAAATCAGATCAAGAAACCAACCTGGGTATAAGAAAATTAAGGAGGAATCCACAACGTTCTTCGCTTTCTGAGAAGAACACCAGAAATTCGGCTGACGATAAAATTTCTCCTTTTTCCTCAATAGAGAGGAGAGAATAACAAAACGAAATAAAAATTGGAGGAAAATAAAAATCTAAAGTCCGATTATTTGATGGGCTATTATTGTAAATGGGCCTCTCAAAATATGATTTGGGCCAACAAAAACCAGTCTTTTAACTTTTAACTAGACTGTTTTGTACTTGTGAAAAGGTTAAGTCTTTCAGCAAAAAAAAGTTTCATTTTGGTAGATTTGAATATAAATACTCAAAATCTTATAACATCTTATCCAAGACCAATTAACTCATTAAAACCGAACAAATCTTCAACTCAAAATCAGATTACACTGCCAATTTTTTACTAAAAAAAACAAAATTTAACTACTCCATTGGAGATGAGAATTCATCTTCTGCTGTGATACCCTCTTCTTCTACACAGACCAGCATGATCGCAGTTAGCATTAGCTTCCCAGCCTCAGCGAAATCTTTGTGGTTCATCAACACATCCTCTACAGAAGAAGTTGTTACATTCTTCTCGGGGCTCTCTCGTCTCAAGGGAAGGACTTGTGCAAAGTCCCCATCAAAAGTGTTGTTGACTCGGTTTGGTCCATAACACGTTTTCGAAGCCTGGAAAAGCGCCGTGTTCCTTAGGTTCTGTAACGTTTCCTTGTCGCTCCAACCTTCACTAGTAGCGGCTTGATGGAGCCTGTCCCAGTCGTCTTGATCCGCCGCGTTTCTCCAGCATTCTTCCAAGAGACTCCTATGGTTCTCCCGGAACGAACAGCTCGTCCATGCAAACACCTCGAAGGCCTTTACGGCCGTCCATCGTCCCTGGATACTGAGACAGACTTCAATGAGCTCCTCCGGTCGAAACAGCCGGTTTCTGGTTCCGTCTTTGCTTGGAATAGCTTTAGTTATCTCTTCCTGGCACAATACACAGTTTCGCTATGAGTTCACCATCATGCTATACAATATTAACACAGATGTAATATCTATTAACCTGCAGCTTCAGTAACTTGAGGTCAGCTTCAATGCGCTTCACTTTTGATTTGGAATCAGCATCCTTATCTGAAACGCGATCATCATCATGACTGTATGTTTCAAAAACCAAGAACATGTGCTATGGAAAACAAACTATTATAATACCTGCCACATAGGCTATCTTTGAAAGGTTCAAGAACCGCTTGCGGTCTGCAAATGTTGGTTGTACATCTTCGGATTCTGACACCGTTCTTTCATCAGCAGTTGTCATAGACTCTTCACCTTGTGCTAGAGCCAACGCGTGAAGAGTGTCGGAAGCGGATGAGAACTGATGAAGAAACACCTTATGAAGCCAAAGTAGATCAGAGTGGCGGCTTAGAAACATCAATAGCTCGTCTTGGAATTCTTCTCCAAGCCGTAGAAGCTTAGAGAACTGTTTCATGTCATAGAATTGCTGGAACACAAAGTAACTGAACCCTCCTTGTGGTCCCACACCTTCGTGCTGCACAGGAACAACATGAGGAAATAAGCAAGAGAACTAAGATGAAGGAAGAGATGATCAACTATATTGACTAAACAAAAGTGAAAGATGTCCGAAAGCTGCCATAAGAAATGTTTTTGAGATTACTCTAAGGAACATGGGAAGAAGAAACCTGAGCTCATACCATTAAGTTTCTGAGTAGCCCCGTATCATTGAGATCATAACATATCCTCCACATGATCTTATAGCCTGCATGTCGCTTAGCAATGGAAAGCAAATTTGAACAACGGTTTCTGAAGATGTCTTCATCTGTTCTTTCTGTGACGCCCTATAGAAACAAAAGCAGTTCATGGTGTTATTCAACATAAAAAGTAAATATGCAGTGAAAATTGCATGCAAAAGAACAGCTAACCTGGAAATCTGCTTCCATAAACTCTTTAGCTTGTTGGTAAAGACAGTCGAAAATGGTATCCCGCCTAGTCCAGTACTCATCAAGAAAACCTTTGTTCTCTTCTTCTCGCTCCAATTTAGCAGTGGTAGAACCGGCATAAGCCTCGAGTAAGACTTCAGTTAGCACTTCGAGATGCATGTATATATCTGATTTAGCAGAGATATCAATCCTAGATCCTTCAGTTAACAGACGACGCATAAAGGACGCAATGCACCACAGTCCATCACATACAAGAGGTCGAGAGTGCCATGGTATTAAGCCTTCAAGAGGTGGATACCACATCTGGTGCTCATTTTTGTAATCCAAGGCAGTCCGAAGAATGGTAACACATGCGTTTGAGAGTTCACAGGCTCTCTGAACTTGAACTCCTAGTGGCTCTTCATCTCTGATTATGTATTCTAGTTGCCTGCTCAGGCAATGAAATACTTCCTCAATTTCAGATACCTTGCTGTAAAAAACTTCAGCATTATCTCTATCCATCAAAAGAACTGTATTTTGACGGGCTCTCTCCCCTACAAATTGAATAAGATCCCAAAGGGCACATGAAACTTGATCCTCAGTGCCAGTACTCGACGATCCAAATCTGGCTGAGCGGCTCTGGTTGATAAAATTCTGCAGTTCCCGGAGTTGGATCATTGCAGCAAGTTTTTCACCATTTTCCAGGATAATTTGCAAAGATTCTCCTGCAGTAGAAGAGATGCATTAGCTAAGCAGTCAATTCTTATGCCAACCAGAATAACTTAAAGGAAAGGTAAACAAGGGGAGGAATGGTAAAAGCAGGTTGAACAAACTAATAAGCATGCTTTAAAACAATAAGATGGAAAAGAAAAACAAGTGAGAGATCAAAGTGAGTACTTTGCCTAGAACACAGCTCCTCATGGCATTTGGATAGAGCAAGAAAGTGTAGAAACTTCTCATGCTTCTGTTGTTTCTCGACCAATTGTGAAGATATAACAGTCATAGCTACAATCTCAGCGCCTCTAGTGGTTGTCCAATGCTTGGCTAACGTGTCGACTATAGATTTGCTCTTGCGAGCAAAAACGTTGGTCTCTCCACCTCTATCAAATGCACCAGATTGGCTAAGCTTCTCCAAGGACCCATCAACGTTCCCAGACAACAGAAAGTCCTCAAAGAGCTGACCAAGCAAAACTTCCGACTCTTCATCACCTGGTACGAGACGAGTAACCCCATGTTTACGGTTTCTTTTGTCTCCACTATCTTGTAAACCAGAATTATCTCTTCTAGCAGTTCTATCAACGCCATACGTCGTGCTCCTTGTCTCATCTCGTCCTTTTGGCACATGGAAAAAACAAAGAGGAACATAAGTCTCAGAATGACAAATACACTCGCTTCTTATCAGAACAACATGATTATTTCATCAAACTTAAATCACATTGACCATAAGGGTTTCTGTGAAAATTTACTCACAACTCTCCTAAAAGAATATCAAAGCTAATCAACAACAACGCCCACGCATCAAAACCACAGACCATAATCAACAAAGATGGTGGAAACATCAAAAACAGCTAAGCCACAGAAATATAAAAAGAGGAACAAAAGTCTCAGAATGACAATATACACTCGCTTCTTATCAGAACAAGATGATTATTTCATCAAACTTAAATCACATCGTAGCATCACCATAAGGGTTTCTGTGCAAATTTACTCACAAATCTCTTAAAAGAATATCCAAGCAAATCAACAATAACGCTCACGCATCAAAACTATAGACCATAATCAAGTAAGTACCTTGCTTCGAAGCGTTTCTTCTCACACTATCCATATTTCACGGCCTGCGAATCTGCTCAGAAAACAAGTAACAACAAGCCACTAGAATTAGCCAACAGAGTATTGAGATTTGAGAATAATAACCAAAGAAGCAGAGGTAATGCTCCCAAACCCATTTCCGCACTAAGCATAAACTCACAGATTACGTTGATGCAAACAGAACTTAACTAGATTCGATTGGGAAAAATCTCTAATTTGATACAAACTCGCACAAAAGGTAAAGCTTTGTTCAAACCCTAAAACAAGTAAAACCCTAGACTACAAAACCACTCTTAAGTGAAAATGCGTTCAAGAAACCAACCTGCGAGTTAAACTATCCAGGAGGAATCCGCAAGTTCTGCTTAATGAGAAGAACACCAGAAAATCGCTGACGATTAATTTCTTCTTTCTCCTCAGTAATTAACCCCAAAAAACATATACAAAAAATGCAGGAAATGAAATAAAAATTAAGACTGTTAATTTGATGGGCTATTAATTATACTTGGACCTCTTAGATCATTTGGGCCAGCATAATTTTATTCTAGATTATTTGGGCCAGCATAATTTTAATCAGGAAATATTAGCAATGCTGACAACAAAAAAAGTTTTTTCCTTTTAAGCTTCTATAAACCCTTTATATTTGATTTTAAATAAGTTCCTAGTGAAAAAAACATTCAGGAAATTTTCTAATCTCATATATGTACTCTTGAAATGTTAATTCTATACCCAATTTGTTTTTATTTTAATCATTTCTAGACATTGTAATTTCATATGAAAATGAAAACTACATGCACATTATAATGTCTTTTAGCAAAAATTGACAAGTATGCTTTAAAACAATCGAAATACAAAAAGGAAACCAAAAAAAAAAACAAAAAGAAGACTTTCTCTATCACCCTGTGTGAAATCTAGAACTAGAATGACACTTTAATCTTCCTCTACTACAAAGCTCATCTATTACATCTGAGTAAGCAATAGCCTCACTGTTAAGTTCCTCCTTCGATTCAGTATTTTCATTTGTCTCTGCCTGCAAATTCAGCTTCACGGATCCAAACTTTCCAGAAACTTTCTCCCGCAACTCTTCTGCTTCACTCAGCTTACCATCTTCCATAAGCGCAGTGATGATACTGTTGTATGTAAACCTATCCGGCTCTAGTCTTTTCTCCTCCATCTCTGACAGAAGATCAAATGCTTCTTCTAACTTCCTGTCCTTGCAGAAAGCTGAGATCATCGTGTTGTATGTAACCGTGTCGACATCTCTCTCCTCTACAAGCGTATTGAAGAAATTGAGAGCCTTTTCTGTCATACCCTCTTTACAAAGACCATTGAGAAGAATGTTGCATGTGTAGTTATCAGGCTTGAAAGAGTGATTGATGGATTCGTTATAAAACTCAAACGCTTTCTCAACCCTTCCTTCTCTGCAGTATCCGAGGATGATTGAGTTGAAAGTAGTGTCATCAGGAAGCAAACCACTCTCAGCAAGCTCATCGAATCTCTCCATCGCTAGCTCGGTTTTACCATTGTGACACAGACCTCCGATCAAAGAGTTGAACGTGCTCACTGTAGGTATGATCTTCATCTTCTTCATCTCGTCCCACATCTCCAAAGCCTTCTCAACCTTTTCTTCCCTGAAGTATCCCGTGATTAATGTGCCATAACTAATCTCGTCAACAATATATCCTCGCTTGCGAGCACTATCCAGCAAATTGCGAGCTTCATCAAGTTTCTTCTCTTTACATAATGCATCGAGTATAGTATTAAGTGTTATGGTATTCATCTTAATGCCTTTCTGTCCCATCTCACGCATCATCTCAAGAGCACCACTCAAGTCGCCAACTTTCAAATACCCATTTATCAAAGTATGGTAAGTAACTCTATCAGGAGAAAACCCATGAACTTCCACCAATTCCTTAACCTTTCTATTAACCTCTTCCATCTTCTCTTCTTTACAAAGCCACTTAAGAGATATGTTATGAGTCACTTGGTTAGGTTTAACTCCATGATTCTCCATTTGCTCCATTAACTTCCTAGCTTCCAAGCTAAGCCCCAATTCAAAACAACCATCAATCAACGTGTTGTACGTAACCACATCAGGGAGTAACTTTAACTCCTTCATCTCATCTATTAACTCAAGAGCTTCCCTGATACTCCCTGCATTGCACAGCCCGTTCATCAACATGTTATAAGTGCGAAGATCCGGTAACATGTTAGTTTGCTTCATCAGCTCCACAATCTGAAATGCTTCCTTCAATGAACCCAGCTTACAGTAACCATACACTAGATTATTGTAAGTGTCTCTATTTGGCACCAACCCATTCTTCTTCATGTCCAACAACAACTCCTTAACATCATTCAAACGCCCTTTCTTAGACATTGCTTTCAAAATCGTATTGTAGGTAACGTTATCGGGATTAACCTTGAACTCACTAACCATCCTCTCTATCATCCTTACGGCATCGTCGAGCTTTCCTTCTAAGCAATACCCATGAATCAATACATTGAAAGTTTTCGCATCTAGCGAGACACCGTGCTTAACCATATCATCAAACACTTCTCTAGCACTCGAGAGAGAGAAGCTAGAAGGGTACCTGACTAAACCAATGAGAAGAGTGCTGCAAGTGAGAGGATTTGGCTTGAGCTTCAACCGAATCATCTTCTGGAAGATCTGTAACGCGACGTGAGGCTTCCCCGCTTGAAGATACGCGCCGAGCGAAATGTCGAAGAGAGCCTTAGAAGGAGGAGGCGAGTGATGTAGATTCGGGTGGAGGAGGGAGTCGCAAAGAGAGAGCGATGCATCGGATGTTCGGATGTAGGAGACGAGAAGTGATTTGGCGTCGGCGAATTTGTGGTGGGAGAGAAGAGAGCGGACGACGGAGAGAAGGGGAAGAGGTGAATCCGATGGAAATGCTTCGGGAACAGAATTCTGAGCCCAATGGAAGAAAGAGACGAGTGTTTCGGGTCTTTTAGCGAGTGAAGGAGAAGAGAAGAGGGAGAGAAGAAGGGGCTGAGTGATTTGAGGGATGTAAGGATTTAGGGTTTCGAGGAAATGGGTTTTCTCCGATGTGAGGATCGATGTAAGGGTTTTCAGTAGTTGAGATTCCGGTGGCTTTAAAGTCGCCATTTTTCTCGGCAGACACTGGGATTGATCCGATCATCCTCGTTGCAGCGCCTCGAAGGCGGAGGCTAATGAATCTCTTTCACTCTGATGGCTAAACCGTAACAAATCGAGACACAAGAACCGGAAATTGGAGACTCGGGTTGTCTGCTAAACCAAACGCAATAGAACACTGTCATGCCTATTTCTCTTCCGTTTATTGGGCCTTTCGGCTCTTTATATAGCCCAAATGACTGCTTTTCAGTTGGACAAGCCATGTGGCCCACGTTATGCTTCGGTTCGGTTTAGGTGGAAAATATAAGACCGGTTCCTAATCATTGAATTTTTTTATCGTGATTACAGTTTCTACAAGCTTGATTCCGCCTGAATAGAGCTGTCAAAATGGCTGTCCATGTCTATTTTGACATGTCCAAATCCATTTTAATCAACATAATAATAACCCATAAGTCTCTTCATCGCTTGACACAACAGCATTTTCAAGCTTTTGGGAGATGACACTTCAGCAAAAAAAACACCAATAAAAAAATTTCATTAATACAAGTCATCAATTTATTTTAACTTTTAAATTTAAACATATTAAAAACTCAAATAATTTTTATTGTTAATTTTAGTTTTATTTTTTGGTCAAGCTCAAGCCCAAATAATAAATAACAGCAAATAAAAAAAAATTGTTTTATTTTTTTAACAAACTCAAATAATAAATAACAACAAATAATAAAATTAAATATTTGTTTTATATTTTTGTCATACCGAAACTCAAATAATAAATAACAACAAAAAAATTAAAATTTTTAACTATGTGTTTGCTTGATAGAGACGTATATGATTGAAAAAAGTGTAGACTCATCATCAACTATGCTTCCATAACAACAATGCGAAAAGCGTTATGTTATAAGAAGGTCACACATCAGCAAAAATTTGAACCAATAAAAACATAACAATAATACATATTATTAACACACTAATAAAATCAATTTACTATTTTGCTGACCCATTAAAAAGCCCAAAGTTTACAACAAAAAATGGAAGGCGAAAGCAAATGAGGAAAAACTCAGACCACCACAGCTTGGAGATTCACATTTCCACTTGTTACCGAAAACAAATTTTATTGGGTTTGGCGGAAATAGAGAATTTCTTGGTTTTGGTAGAAAAATGTGATTTTCAGTTTTGGTAGGAAAACATAGTTTTTCGGTTATGGCGGAAAAAAACGAATTCTCGGGTTTGGCGGCAAAATGTGAATTTTTGGTTTTAGTGAGAAATAAAAAATTTGATTTTGACGAGAAAATGCGAAGGAATTGCAACTTTTTAATTTTGACGAAAAATACAATTTCTCGGTTTTGATAGAAAATGCAATTTTTTCGGCTTTTGATGGATAATGTAATTTCTTGATTTTTGCAGAAAATTGTAATTTGACAATTTTGGCAGAAAATGCAATTTCTCGGGTTGATAGAAAAGCAAAATTTCTCGATTTTGGCGGGAATAAACAATTTCTTGGTTTTGATGGGAAATGCAAATTTTCAGTTTTTGACATATAATTTGATTTTTGGTTTTCGAGGGAAAATATGATTTCTTAGTTTTCGTGGAAAATGCAATTTCTCAGGAGATAATGCAATTTTTGGTTTTTGCGGAAAATTGTAGTTTATCGGTTTTGGTAGGAAGGCGTGATTCTTGATTTGACGAGAAAATTAATTTTTTCTTGTTTTGGTGGGAATAGACGATTTCTCGATTTTTGCGAGAAAATAATTTTTTGGTTTTGACGGAAAATACTATTTTTTGTTTTTGCAGGAAGATGAAATTTTTTGGTTTTGGTGAAAAAACTTGATTTTTCTGTTTTGACGGAAAAACACAGGTTCTCGCGAGAAAATATGATTTTTTGGTTTTTGAGGGAAAATGCAATTTCTTTGTTTTGGTAGGAAAATGAAATTTCAGGTTTGACGAGAAAATGAATTTTTTTGGTTTTGGCGGGAATAGGCGATTTCTCAGTTTCATGGGAAATAATTTTTTTTTGTTTTGTCGAAAATGCAATTTTTCAGTTTTTATAAAAAGATAAAATTTCTCTGTGCTAAATTTTCAAGTTATAATATGTTTATAGTAACCAAAATTGATTTATTTAACTTCAACTAAATTGATATTTCAACAGTTCAAATAGAACTTTCTATTTAGTTCTAAAGTAATAGTAATAATTTTGATATGAATGTTATTGATTATAGTTTGGTAGTTTTAGAAACATATGTCTATAATAAATATTTGATAAATAAATAAATTTTATAATTTAAAATAATCATATTAATTAATATTTTTTTAAATGGCAATTTGCTTTATATAATTTTAAAGGAGGATCAAGTAGCAATTTAGTAGAGAAAATAAATTACATCTACCATTAGCTTGAATGTACTTAAAAATATAATGTTTTATTCTTACATATACATTTATAGATAGTTAGCTAAACAAATTTGATAGTAGATTATAATTTAAAAAAAAAAAATTAATAATATATAATGTTTATTCAGATTTAAAACATATAAATATATAACTTAAGCTAATAAAAAATAAATATAATACTCATTTAAAATATATAAATAATTTTATTATATTAAAAATATATACAAATCTAGAAAAATATCCCGCAGCGTAGCGCGGGTAAATACCTAGTTATAGATAAATAGCGATCATGTCTACTAATAACTATGTCCATTAATGAGCATGTCCATTTAAAATCATGTCCAAATGGGTATATCCAATTATCCATAAACACCTAATTTAATTTAATTTTAATTATTATTTTTTTAGTAATTGACAAATACTATATCAATCCATCTATTTTATTTATGTAATCGTAATTTTATGGTTTTATAGGAAAAATAAAATTGTGTGATTTTGGCGGAAAATGAAATTTTGCTGTTTTGGCGGAAAATGAAATTTTACCATTTTAACAATTTTTTTTTTGTGAAAAATCTAATTTTTGTAATTTTTGTTATTATATAAGTTTTAGTGAAAAATATAATTTTACGATGTTGGTTGGAAACGTGAATTTACAGTTTTTGACGAAAAACCGGATTTCACAATGGAAACGTGAATTTACAGTTTTTGACGAAAAACCTTATTTCACAATTGTCACGAAAAAATAAAATTTTGTAAATTAGATAGGAAAATATGATATTACAATTTTAATCAAATAAATTTAAACCTAACTTTTTAGGGATACTTGCAAAAATGACCTAAAATTTGATTTGAATTGCAAATCTAACCCACAAAAATCACTTTCCCAACATTTGCCATTTTGTGTCCAAACAATCTCTCATAGTTTCAGTTATTCACGAAATTGCAATTGTTTTTAATTAATTTTATTTATTTTTGGAAATTCAATTGACCAACTAATCTTCATCTTTCTCACTTATTTACGAAAATGCCATCATCATCAATTCACCCAACCACTATTTTCAACCAATTTTGAAGCTTTAATGGTGGCAAAAACCCATTTTTGAGTTTGTTGAGCTCATTATTTTCCCTTTTAAGCTTCTATTCTTCCATTTCCTCTCTATTTTCTTCCCAAAAACTCTATAATTTGTCTATTAAAAAGTTGAAGTTCATAAAAATTTCTATATTCCGGCGATTTGGTTGTTTGTTGCGGTTGTGCTTCTTTCATTGTGGCTAGGATCGAAGATCTTGACCAGAAAAGAAGCTAAAGGCGAGTGGTAAGTCGGATTTTCAGTCAATTTTGGTGTTTTTTAGTTCTGGGCTCCGAAAGTAGACTTCACTCGGTCCGAATGAAGTCTACTAGTCAACGCCCAGGTTAGTTTTGCAATTGACCGCATGAAAAAGTAGACTTCTTTTGGTCCGAATGAAGTCTACTCCATTTCCTTTGATAACAAAAAAATAGAGTAGACTTCTCGAGTAGACTTCTTTAGAAGCAGGTCATTTTTGCAATTGACCAACCTTTGACTTTTCAGAGTAGACTTCTCTATGAAGTAGACTTCTCCGAGAAGTCTACTTTAGAAAGTAGACTTCTCGCAGGTCATTTTTGCAATTGACCAAAAAGTCAAATATTTTGCAATTGCAAAAATGACCTGCGAGAAGTCTACTTACGAAAGTAGACTTCTCCGAGAAGTCTACTTTTCATAGAGAAGTCTACTAATATTTTGGCAATTGCAAAACTAACCTACGAGAAGTCTACTTTTATCCGAGAAGTCTACTTTTCTTGTTTAAAAAAAAAAATCATTTATATACAATATATAACGAATTTTTATGATTTTCGTGATCCTAAGCTTCTGTTATTAAGTTTTCTTGCTTATGTATAAGTTTTGCATGTTTATATTTTATAGGTATAGTCGAATGAGTTTTCATGTTTTATATGATACTTAGCTTATTAAGAGTAGACTTCTTAGTCTACTATAGAAGTCTACTAAGTAGACTTCATTCGACTTACCGAGAAGCCTACTTATGCAACGTTGATGTCTAATGTGGTTTGGATTTGTTTTTTTTTTCACAGAGAATGGTTTACATACCCGCTGTTTATGGAGAATGGGTTAAGACTGAATCAGTTTGGCAGTTCGAGGTGGATAATAACAAAGGAGAGCGGATGTTGTTCTTAAGAGATGGTTGCACACATGTTGAGCTTCTTGGAATGGTGCAAGAGGATTATATGCTGGAAAAGGAAACAAAGGTGGAGTTATCCTATCCCTTACCACCTCAGATGCTTCAACATATGCCTCCTGATTCTCTGTCTATGTATGTCACAAATGATAGACATGTTCAGAGCTTGATTGAGTTAAGTAAGATGCATGGTGTTCGCCTTTATGTTTCGAGTAAGATAGTGGACCATGAGAATGATGATGTGGATGGACATGCGGATACATGCTCTGATGCTGAAGAAGATTGGGATGAAGACGCTGAAGATTGGGATGAAAATGTTAAAAATGAGGATGAAGCTGATAGTTTGAATGAAGATGAAGTTAATCAGAATATGAAAGAAAAGTATGATGACTCAGATGTGGATTACAGTGAGT